GTCCCTGGGGCGCGGGTCCCGGGCCCCGCAGCTGCCGGCGGCCGCGGCGTTGGCGGCGGACCCTGAGGACAATGCCCGCAGCCCGAGCGAGGCGAAGGCTGGGGCTGGAGATCCGCGCCGCGGCAGCCCGGGAGGGCGGGGAGGCGGTGGCGGCCGGCTGCAGAGGCGGCTGCTAATTGCGCGTCCGGCCGGGACACGCGTGGCATGAGTCCCCGCGGAACGTGCGCCCACCTCCGCGGCCCATCGCGCTCTCTCCCGCAGCCTCCGCCGGGCGAGGGCTTCCTACTCGCCGCGCGCAGCCCGGCCCTCCCCGCCCTGGCGAGCATGCCCAGTGCGCCGCCCGCCGCGCCCCGCCCGAACGTCCGCTCCGGGATTTCCGCGGGGTCGGGAGTGGGCGGGGAAGGGGTGTGGCTAGATCGGACTGGGCGGGGGGGAGGGCGGAGCAACGGACCGGACTGGCCGCCTGGCCGCCGTGGCGCGAGTCTTGGAACTGGAGAGGCGAGTGCGTGCGCCGGGAGACGGAAGCCAGGGCCTCTCCGGAGTCTGCAGAACGCGCGTGGGCGTCAGGGACGGTCCGGGCTGTGCCCTTCCCGCCGGCTTGCAGCCGTCCCCGAATCCCCGCCGTGCGCGATTCTCCGGCCGCACAACCGCAAGGGCATCTCGAGACCCCGGAAGGCATCCCAGGCGCGTGTCCGCCCGGTCCCCACGCGCAGCACAGCCGCTGGCTCCGCCCCACCTGGCTGGCTGGCCCTGCACCGCATTCCCCCGACCGTGCAAACGGGACGATTCTCGACCTAGTGCGGGCCGAACTGAGCTGAGGTCCCGGCACGACCTACGGGGGCCCTCCCACCTCGCCGACGGCTGGGGCCAAAACCCGGCGAACGGATGGCGCCCGGACGGCTCGCACGGAGTCAGGGCATGCTCAGTCGGCCGAGCAGGTTTGGGGCTTGCAAGTGGGAAGGTTTCGCACCGCACACCCACACGCCAGCTCAAATTACCTCTCCCAGACTCCCGACTCATTGGTCCCGGGGCCTTAGTCTCACACCCACAAATGTTTTCCCATTGGCTGCGGACGAGGTTTTGTCACTTTGGACAGCTTCATTGGCTGGAAAGTCGCCTCCGCTCGGGATTGGTTATTTATAGAGATTGAGTGGAGAGGCGGAGGCCCAGATGCTCTCTCTCCGCCGCTCCCCGCCCCTTTCCTCCCACTGCCCCAGCCCCGAGGATCCGAAGCTGGAGGGGGAAAGAAGGAATTTAGGCGGAGAGCTCCCAACTAAATATAGTTCCTTTGTTGGTGTTTTGGAGGGTGTCTGATCTCCGCGCCCAGTCACGATCGACCCTTTAAAGGGAGCAGCCAGGCTCCACTACAGCTCTTGGTCTGCAGGAAATCCTAAAGTTTGGAAGTTGACGTTGGCGCGAAGGTTGGGGTGGGAAATGAGCCCTGGGAGCTCTTGGCACCCGGGGAGTCGGGCTGTCCAGGCTTGTCTCTTCTCAACCTCCCGCGCGGTGGGGCAGGAAGGCGCAGGACTTGGCGCGGCTCGCTTGCACCGGGGTACAAGGAGACGCCTGGGCTTGTCCTGAGTCTCTCTAGATCCTGGCGAGGAGAGATGTGGAGGCCTGTCAGCCCACAGGGTTGGGCGCGGGAGCCCCAGGGTGCAGGGGGCGGAGATGAGATTTGTGTGAACCCAGGCCTGCGCCTCTTACCCGCTGCCTCTGCCCTCTGTTTTAACCGTCCATTGTAGACGGTGACTGGGCAGTGTGTTTACACTTGGTTTCTGTTCCTAGTTCTGCGGTGACTCATGGCCTCAGCTGCGAGTTAACCTGCTCCAAACTCTTGGCTGTAGCCCCTTAAGTGGGTGACCGCAGCAGTAAGTTCTTGGGTGCAGGACCAGGGGGCACGAGGGCAGGAGCCTGTGCCCAAGTACAGTGGGTGGTGTTCACACTGCCACTGGCTCTGTCAGGTAGTGGAGAAAGGCCGTTCACCGTCTACTATTGACTCCCTGGATGTAATTGTGCTTACGTAATTCTTCAGTGGAATAGCTCTTAAATAAATTCTAATATAGCCAGATAGAACCTTGCCAACACCCTCCCGTGTTTAACGTCCACGAAGTGTTTTGCATGTGCTATCTAAATTACTCCTCATGATAATTACTGTTATGCCCATTTTAAAGATGAAACTCAGCTCCCAGGTGTTCAGTAGCTTGTCTGAGGGCGGGTTACAACCTAGGTGTTTGCCTGTGGAGCCTGTTCTCTAACCGCTAAAAGTATTACTTTCCCTCAAGACAATCTCCAGTTTTTCTTCTCCAGTGGAGCCTAGAGGTGGTTTGATAAGTTTGACTCTTAAGCAGGTGAGCTCTCTGCCTGAGAGCATGCTGTTACTGGCCTCTTGCAGCCCCAGGGTCAAGACGACATCCATCTGGATGCTGCTCTATCTTCTAGACACTGTTCCAAGGAGTCAGGATTCTGAAGTTACCTCTCAGATAAAGGCCAAACCCTTTCCAGGATCTGTTTGGGACTCTCAACTCTCCTATGTCCATGGCTTTTTATTGGAGCGTGCACTCTGGGTGCTATGGATCCACTTTGAATCTGGGCAAGGGAGCAGTTGGTATCAACTTTGTCTTGACTGACACCTTGAAGCACAATGTTTGGAGGAGCCCAGGAATTCCTAATTCACACCTCACTGTGCAGGCTCTTGCCTTGTACAAGATATCTATCATGGTGTACAAGTTTGTTTATCTTGGTTTATAACTTACATACTTAGAGTAATGCTATTTATCTAAGTAGGCCTCTATGTGCATTTTACACCCACAAAGGGGTGGTACTGAGTATAACCTGGAAGAAAATGCCTTGTCCTAATGGGCCTGGTGTCTTATCTCAAGTACATGATCTCAGTTACTACCTGGGGCCTTGGGCAAGTCCATTAAACACTCTCACCTTGGTTTCTTTATCTATGTAATGGTGGTAATGAAAATGACCCTGGCTGTGCCAGGAACCTTGGCTAGACTCTGGACACCAAAGCCCTCAGTTTGGAACAGAGAGCAGAGCAAAATTAGAACTCTGGTATCCTTGCTGCCCTTTGTACCTGTGTGAGTCATTCCAGAGGGATAATAATTAACAGATGATGGAGAGAAATGTGCTCTAAAGCTGTTGTGCCCTGTACATGCATCAAATTCCTACCCAGACCCTAGTAGCCTGATAGCCCAGGAAGAGATGTTAAGGTGCCAAAAAGATGGTATTATTGAGCCTTGATGGTCTTTTTACTACCAGAAAGATGTTACCATTTGAAGACTTTATTTGGGATTCTTCAATAAGAATTTATATTCTACTCTATTTCTATACAAAAAGAACTACATGGGAGGGGGGTGTTGAGATCCAAAATGAAGCAATAACTTAGATCTTTTTGGTACTAGTTAATGGACCCAACTTGTTTTACATGATATGTAAGTGCAGTGACCTGCCTTTGAGCTCCATTCCTAGTCATATGTATGTGTGTGTGTGTATATTTATGTATCTGTATATATATATGTATATATATTTATGTGTGCATGTGTATATGTATATGTACACACATATGGAGAGAGGGAGAAGGAGAGAATCCTGAGCTGCCTAGGCTGCTCTTGAACTTTCTCTGTTGCCCAGCATAGCCTCATGCCTCAACATCCTGAGTATCTGGGATAACAGGCCCAAGTCACTACACTTGGCTTAAAGCATACAAATTTTAAAGTTGATGCAATTCTCTTATGAGATTTGTTAGGAGATCTTCTTTGGGTTTTCTTTTTTTTTTTCCTTTCTGATTTTGCACCTCTGATCACAGCATAAATCATTATTTGTTCCATACTATAATTATTTACAGAACTAAGTCTGGTTACCCTAAGTACCATGTAAGCCTTCCTGTGTTTCATGGTTTTTTATTTATTATGATAGGAGGCCCTCAATAAATACTCACCAATGAATATGTAAGTGGTATTTCATTCTTTTTTTGAGTCAAGATCTCAATCCTTATTCCTTGACCCAAAGAAAACTGTATCCTAATGTTTAAGTGTCTGTGAATCTGAAGATGCCGAAGTGATGCAAATCCCACACTTCCTTGAGTGGAAACACTAAAACAATGCCATTCTATGGAGAAATAACCAAGCATCCAATGGACAAATGCTTTTTTAAAAGAAGATAATATCTGGCTGCAGGTGGTGGTGCACACCTTTAATCCCAGCACTTGGAGGCAGAGGTGGGCAGATCTCTCTGAGTTTGAGGCCAGCCTAGTCTATATAGGAAGATCCAGGCCAGGTGGGGCTACAGTGTAAGACCCTGTCTCAAAAACAGCAACAAAAAAGAAGACAGTATCTTCTGATAGCATGAACAGGCATTTCTGGCAAATAATCCAAAGTAAAAGCTACCAGATAAGGGCAGCTTAACCTTTGATACCTAATTCTTCACAGAGGCCCATCCTTAACCTTTGGTCTTACAGAGAACTTGCTAAGCGCCTTCTGGGGTGGAGGGGTGTTAGGCCTGCAAGGAGCTAGAAGGTAAGTTAGAAGGTGAAGCTTTAAAGCCCTCAAACAGAAAACTGCTTGCCTGTGCATTTCATTTATGCAAAGTAAATAGAAACTGATTTTATGATGTCATAGATTTAGCCAGAGCCATACTAGGTAAGCAAATAATTCTAGATAAATTCTCCTAATTTTGAAAAGTGCCCAGGATAAGTTGATAATTACTATATATCATTATTTTCTCAGGGGAAAATTAATTGCTTTCCAGCTTTTCAAAAATATTTAAGTCACTGAATTTGCAATAATGTAATAACCTAGCTAATTTAGGCTGTTTTATTAAAGATACTTGAAAAAACTATTTCATGAATGTTATGCCTGTATGTATGTTAGTGCACCTGTGTCATGCAATGCTTGTGAAGTCCAGAAGAGGGCGTCGGATCACCTATAGCAGGAGTTACGGACAGTCGTTACCCACCATGTGGGTGCTTGGAATCAGACCCCAAACTTCTGCAAGAGTAGCCAGTGCTCTTAACTGCGAGCCATCTCTCCAGCCCCTTCAAAGTTACTTTTTTTTTTTCTTTTCGGTCTTTTTGAGACAGGGTCTCCCCATAGCCCCAACTGTCCTGGAACTCACTATGTAGACCAGGCTGGCCTTGAACTCACAGAAATCCGCCTGCCTCTGCCTCCCAAGTGCTGGGATTAAAGGCATGTACCACCACGCCAGGCCCTCAATGTTACTTTTTAAACAATCAATAAATAGCACCTCTGAAAATATTGTATAATTTGAACCAACAATTATCATTGCTTTATTCTGCATGTTACACTTTGGATAGACAGCATTTCGAGTTATTTCATGTTCTAATCATATTACCTGTAGAGCAGCCATCCTGTGAGAACAGTGGCTCGAAGTACTCATGAAGAGATCTTGAACCTGTGTAGCTTAGAACCATCACAAGCATCCTAAATTATACTTAAAGAGAGACAAAGACCTGCTCAGTCTTATAATTTCATTGCCTTTGCCTGCCTATATTTCTTGTACTGTGGTCTGCTTTTCTTATTTTAATTATTCTTCAAAAGAATATGCATAGGAAATTCTTATATTTTAAAATAAACAAACACTTAAAATCATTTTCTCTTCCTAAAAAATTTTGATAGGCCCAAGCAAAAAATCTAAGTGAATCAAAACAACTATTATCTCCTTTGTCTCTCTTTGTCAGTTTGGTATTGAATAATGAGCTCAACATATAAACGAATATACTTATTATTTTAAAAAATAAAGCCACTCTTGTCTCCAAGAAGTTACCCTAGGCCGAGATGCCCCACGGGACTAGGCTGATCTAACGTAATGACCCAGCAGGTTTGAAGTCTATCATAAGCTCTTATGGATGACTTGGCATACTTTAATTCTTTTACCCAGTTTTAGAAAACAAGCAAGAGAAACAATCCCTCCTTTTTATAAGAAAATTTATAGCAAAATAAAAAGTAGTTACAAAGAACAATAACGGTATTATTATCTCATTCAGCATATCCAACAAATCGGTTTCTAGTCATGTCCAGTTCAGCCCTCTTCTTAAAGAGAAGTGATCTGACCTTTTCTGCCTGAGAGGCCCTGATCAGTGAAGAAAACCCATGCTCCTCTTACAGCATGACTTCAGACAATGAATGTACACTCACTGAAGGGAAATTTTAGAGAGGTTTCATTGATCTGAATTTTCTTCCTTGAAAGATCCATTTCAAATCACAGTCTGTTTAATATTTGTCTCCTCAGAATGTTCTGTTCCAGAGAACCAAATATAGAAAGAATAGGCGAAAATTGCTTAGTTCCCTTGCAGAGAATTTTCCTCTCACTTTGTTTTTTTCTCATGAACCACTAGATGAAAGCAGCCCCCTTTTCCCCTGCAGGGATGACAGTGCACCACTTCCCCTGGCACAGTGGAAGCCTATCACTCCGCTGCAGCAGGGACTCTACTAAGCCTTTAGACTGTGGTTTTGATGGAGACAATGAGGGCCTGTGCTGGGGGAAAAGAAGTTTCTCCTGTAAATTATCGCCTGCAATAGGGGCTGCTTTAAGGAATCTGCCTGCTGGGAGCTCTGTTTTACTGGCAGTTATGTAATCAAGCAACCAGGAGATAGTGCAAAGGATCTGTGAGTCGTGGTTTGAGAAGATAACATGAGAAACTGAAGAATTCCGACTGGTTTTTGTGGTTGTCTGTTAAGGTCTATTATCCATGCCTGTAATTCTTGAAGTTTCCTTTAAAATCTATTTTAAGCTTTATGTGCAAAAGGCAAACTACTGTTCTTTTATTCACCTATGTAATATGGACATATGGCCACAAAACGTGAAGAGAATCTTCTTTCTGTTAAGGGTTTTATTTCCTTAAGAATCATCTTACTGTCATATAGAAATAACTTCTTGAAATTAAAAAGGAGAAATTCTGGAAAACTGATCAAGTATTTCTGCCGTGAAAGCAAGATATTCTAAGTGAGTGCTTCAAACTTCCTCTGTGAAGGATTAGATAATATGTCCGGTTTGCAGACCATACTATCTCTTTTGCAACTTCCAAATCCCATTTAGCATACAGACAGCCTTAGACGGTATGCAAATAAATGGGCATGGCAGAGTGCCAATAATACTTCCTTTGTGGGAACAGGTGGTGGACTGCATTTGGCTTGCAAGCCCATTGGTTTGTCAATTTCTAAACCATGTACTGAGGGGGAAAAGAAAAAACCTTCATTTGTTGTAAGAGTGTCTTTAAATCAAAATGGACTACTAGTCTCTCAATGGATGTGGTCACATTTTGGGCTGTAATCTATAGGAAAATTCCACTCAAATAGTGAGTAGATATCAGAGAATAGGATTTCTAGGTAATTAATAAAATATTCATATTGCGATTCTTACACCAGCATCAAAGGCATTAGCCAGGTTTTATTATTCTCATCTCTTTCATATTTATTTGTTGATTGTGGATTATGTATTAGTTATGCAG